GTGAAGCAAAAACAATACGCAACGTCAGACCTATAAAATAAATCACTTTAGATGTTGAAAGTAAAAAAAATAGAAGGAATCGATCACATGTTCGTTTGTGAAGTGAAAGATATGAAGAATTAGAGTATTAAAAAGTCGATATTGTGCATCTACTTTTTATTTTGGATGTCCGACTGAGATCGAAGAACTCCTTCATATGATAAAACATTGACGTATGTCAGGTTTGTTGAGTTGTTGTCTTTACTTGTTTTGTCTTTGCTTCGGTTTAGGAATCAAGAGACGTGGTCTCATTAGTTTGAATTGGTCATGCGTTTTATTAGGCCTTAGTGGAGTTAGAGAATGTACATTGGGGTGCTCTCAAGTGTGTTCTTAAAATATAAAATTATTAAAATTTGAGTAAAAAGAAGAAAGAGAGTGTTTTTGTGGGGTGTATTGAATATAAAATTAATAAAATTTGAGTAAAGAGAGAAGATAGTGGGTGTGTTTAAATATAAAATTAATAAAAATTGAGTAAAAGGAAAAGAGAGTGTTCTTAAAGTAGTACTTTTAGATAGTGTTCTCAAAATGAAGTGAGAGTGTTTAAATATAAAATTAATAAAAGTTGAGTAAAAGGATGAAAGAGAAGGTATAAAGTTGAGTAAAAGGAAGAAAAAATGTGTGTTTTAATAATTTAATATTTGAAGAACACACTTGAGAGCACCCCAATGGACATGCTCTAAGGATCCTTAAGTTTCTCTTTCGGTTATTTGCTTCTGTTGTATGACATATAAAAGGAATTGTACGGTTATTCTAATGAGATAGATCATTCAGTGCAAAGTTTTGTGTTTCTCTGAGTTTACAATCACAAGGTTTTACTTTAATAACATAATAATTTTGCTGCAAGTACACAACGATCGATTGAAATATTTAAAAGTCGAATCCACTTAAAATTTAGAGGGCTAAAGTTTTAAAGTAGGAGAAAAATTGGTTTGCTAACGAAATAACGATGAAGAAAATTAAAGTTAGTTGGGCCACAAAGTTATTAGGTCAAAATAATGGGCTTATATTTTTGGTTGTGAAAAGATGGAGAAAAAGAAAATGAATAATGTTTGTCAAACGTCCTCTTCTCCGATACGTTCCGTCGCCGATACTTGTGAATCGGAGAAGATCAATGAGAGCTATGGAGATAAAGATGTCCATTTGTTTGGGAACTGGAGCAATTGCATTTTCTTTAGCTGACATGTGCATATCAATGGTCCTCCTTTTTGGATTTGATAGACAAATTCAATTGATTCTCTCAAGAACAATAAAGAAGAAGAAAGAAACTTGTCGGTGCTGGTAGTGTGGAATTCAAGATTGATTAAGGCCTTGGAGAGTAGTCAAGATTGATTTTTTGAAGTTGAGAAAGTTTTTACAATAAAATTCTTGGTAAAGATCTGAGGGTAGTTGAGACAAGCTCAGGTTTAAGTTCTCAGTGGACATAAAGCTTTCGAGGATCAGAGATTCTGTGTTC